GCATGACAGCTACAGCTTACACCACCACACTCACTCTGTAAACACATCAGAACCTGACCAATCAGAATCACTCATTCAGCTGCTTGGATCACCACTTCAACTCTTGTGCATGTCTGACCAATCACATTCACTCATTCAAATTTTGTATGTAGCTAAAAATACCTCATGTAATAGCCCAGGCCAGCCAAAATCACTCATTACTGGCTGCCCTGGAGCTAAATTCCCTCACTGTTGTATATATAAGGAGGCTCTCCTCCCAGTTGTTTAATCCTCAGTCAAGTAACACTCAAGCAATATTTGACCACCCTTACACAAACACTTTAAAGCGCCAACCAAACCAAATCAACAACTCTTCATCACACAAACTCATTCCTGAACTTTACCCTATCACTTGATTAAAACTTGCCAAGCTGAGCTTGGTGGGTCTTGTTATCTGATAGTATAGAAGGGCAGAGTTTACACTCCATCATCCCCTTCTCCATTCAGCAAAAAGGGTCTTACAACCACTTTTTGAGTCTTACACCGTGACCAGTAAAAGGGCGGGTATCCGCGGATATCCGTGGAGATACCTGCCAGCGGATGCAGATGCGGATGCGGATGTGTGATCCCTCTGACTTGAGCGGATATCAGGATGCAAAGCAACCATCTCTAATTCAATCCATAGTCTAATGATGGCCCATCTGTCAGCCTCTGGGTAAGTAACCTGAGTGTTTTATAGATAAAGGTTGTTACTATGAGTTGACTGAAGTGTTTGAGCGTGGTGAGTGGTAGGTAGTGGTTGTTTAATACCAGTCCTGTAATGAGGAGGTTACACTCTATCAGTATGGTATTTACTGAGAAGCTTGCTATCAACAGTGCATCCGGATCAATACTTGGTATTAATAGGCATCCAGGGTACTAAGACTCACCTGGGATTGATTTGGTTATTCCCAAAAGGGAATAGGCTAACAATACTTATTAAGCTTTAAAAAAATTAGTTGAAGATTAATAGATATTGTTAATGGGAATATTCAGCAAGGCTATGAATATTGTGGATAAGTTGAGTAAGTTTACTGAAGCTTAAGAACAATAAATTTAGACTAGATTTATGTTGGTTACATGTACTGTATCAATATAAATGTTAACTGGTTTAACTGGTGTCTGAATATTCTGGGGATTAATCAGTGGAAGTTGCACGGATTATAAGTTCCAGAAAATTACATGGGGAAATGAAGAAGTGCTCTGAATCACGGGTGAAAGTACCAAGAGGAAGAGCAGGGTTAATTGAGTAACTGATCTTTATTTGTAATGATCTGTTCAGATCTGTCATAGTATTTACTAGAGGATCAGTAAATAGTATTTTTGACCTGTACAGCTAACAGATCTTTCAAATAAAATAACAAATAAGGATCAGTACATGTATTGATTGTATTAATTCAATTGGTAATCAATAATTTGCAAATAATACATGCACATTTTTATTTGTAATGATTCTTGTCCGTGATGACTTTGAGGACAAGGATAATTAATGATGAAGTCATTATTAAGATCACACAATAAACAATGAAGTCATTATTAATATCAGTACATGTATTTATTATATTCATTCAATTATTAATTAATACTTAACATTCAAGGCATGTACATATTTATTTATAAAGATATTTGATCGTGAAAATACTGTAGAACAGGGATAACTTGTGGTACAGGTATTTCACGGTTAAAGGAGTGAAAGGTAAGTGATAATTACTTATGTATGAAACATGTATGTATTTAATAGATAAGTAATTAAACAGATAATATAATATAAAATAAAATAAAATAAGTTAAAGATAATGATAAGATAACAAGATGTAAATGTAATCAACATTATGGATAAGTACTTATGTACATAAGTACAGGTGTTGCAGTTACTTGGTACATGAAAGGTACTGTGACATGTACTCTGTGGCTGACACCATCCTACAAGTCCAATGGGCATACCTTTTTTCTACCAATTCACCTGAGGTACACTAAACATTCACCATGGAGCTGAGGCAGTGCAGCTACCCTTAAACCCTATTCCCTATTATTGCAGTGACAAAGCCAAATTTTATACACTAGCAAATCAAAGATCCCTAGATCCCTTGCAAAAAAAAAGGAAAAGGGTTTATACAGAAAAGCTATGGGGGCAGGGGTATAAACATTCATTGTCATGTGGAGGATGAGCTTGATTTAAGAACCAAGACAGTGCCAGGGGGTGGTGACCAGAACCTGGTATAAGTTATTGGGTCTGAGCTGGGGATTGTCTCTGACAAAGGTGAAGGTTCTTACAGAAAGATCTGAGTGGTACATAGAGGATTAGCCAAAGGATCAGGGGTATTCTTAAGATCAATCAACCACCAGAAACCTATAATACTTTCAATAAAACATAAATAATCAAATAGAAATATAATTCATTCAGCACAAAATGAATAAACAGGACGGGAAACGATTATAAAGAATAAAAAAAGAGTATTATATATTCTCATATATAAGATAATAACATAAAAACAACAAAAGAAATAATAAATAAAAGAATAATACAGGATATAATCAAAAATATAATGAAGGGTAGGACTCAAAAGTCACACAATGTGTCAAAATTGGTCAAGAAGGAATTATAGATAACATAATGTTATAAATCTGAAAACCATTCAGGAGGAAATAGAATTATATAATATCAAATCATAGAATCATTCAGCAGGTCGTATTAGTTAATTAAGCAGATCATTAATAATTAATTACACAGCCATTTATGAAATTACACAGCCACTTATTAATTACATAGCCATTCCTAATTATTTCACAACATAAGGATCATAAATCACACAGATGAAATCATTGACCAACATAGCTGTAGATTATTAATTCTACAGCTGCACACCATTAATTCACAGCTGTACATCATTAATTTCACATCTGAAGATCATTAAATCCATTGTATGACATGACATCATTAAATTAGCAGTATGAGGTCATTACCCAGTCAGATCAACTATTCTGATCAGTGTAGCTCCTCCCCCTACACACAAGAGATTTTGTCTATAAATAGAGGCCCTTCTGGCTCATGTTTTCCTTCCTTCCTCCCCATGCTAGCTTCAGAATATTAATTAGATATATTACTTAGCTTTCATCAACCCTTATATATCAGATATAGAATAGTAATAAGGCCCCGTTTGGCAGTGTCATAAATTCAAGTGTAATATTGCCTTATAAATTCAATATCAAATAAACCACTCAGAAATATGTAATAAAATTTTGACTGGGGTAATGTGAACTACTGATTTCAAATTTAAAACAGAAAAATTTGAGATAAGGGTCCATCTTCAGCACCATAATACCAATATCACACTTTTCACCCATATAAAGGGTAATATCAATGTTATGGGGCTCAAGATGGCTTAAGATATCAAGTTTGTTCTCAGAATTGATGCAAACAGTAATTGAACTTGCCTGAGTAAAAATTTTGAAACATATTTTGCATTGGTTTATTTTTCATTGAATTAATTGGGCAATATTACACCTAAACTTATGACGCTGCCAAACAGGGCCTAAGAGATATTGCTAAACCCTTTACTCCTCACCCTTATATTGAACCCAGATAAATGATAAAGATATTATTATTTAACACTCCTCAAACCCTCAACAGAAGATATTGAAGAAATAAAGACTTACTTTATTAAGAACCCAGATTAAACCAGAGATCCAGATATAGTCTTCACAGACCAGAGAATCCAGAAATAATCATATAAACCAGAATAAACCAGAACCCCCTCAGATATCTGATAACACCAGAAGCTCTTGACCATCCATTCGATCCATAACAAAAAAACTCAACATCCTCAACAGGTAGTATCTTCACTAGGATAAATTTTAGAAATCTACCACACTACTATTTTTCTTAGTGAAACTCTCTCACAAGCTAGACAAGGAGGGCAGTATCACCCACGGGGAGTGATAATCACACTCCACCCCCCTTCGCACACGCGCTCCCACACTCCCTTCAGAGAAGGGAGTGTTGGAGTGTGTGTGCGAAGGGGGGTGGAGTGTGATTATCACTCCCCGTGGGTGATACTGCCCTCCTTGTCTAGCTTGTGAGAGAGTTTCACTAAGAAAAATAGTAGTGTGGTAGATTTCTAAAATTTATCCTAGTGAAGATACTACCGGTTGAGGATGTTGAGTTTTTTTGTTATGGATCAAATGGATGGTCAAGAGCTTCTGGTGTTATCAGATATCTGAGGGGGTTCTGGTTTATTCTGGT